CGGAGCCAGGTGGAGCCTCCCCCTTCCTCCCTTTGGGGTCCCAGCCAGGCCCAGCCACCCCGGGTCTGGCCTGGTGAGCGGGGTGGAGGATCCCGGGCCCTCCTGGAGCGGGTGTGGAGAGTTCTCTCCTAGGGTCGCGATCGGGTTCGGTCCCGGCGCCGCCTGAGGTTGGTGAACGTTGAACTTTGGAGCGAACTGCGTTCTTGTTGCCTTTGGAGGGGTAGTGAGGGGACCCCGCGCCTTACGTAAGTCACAAGTTTGGAAGGAAGCAGTTCTTGGAACAAGTTAGGGGCATGTTGGAGTTGGTGCGTGGAGGGGGAGGGGCCCCGGAGGATGCCAGGAGCGCTTGTTGTTGGCGTTAGGCGGAGGGGCTTGGGGTCCGGTTCTAAGAAGGATGTGTTTTCCTGGGCTCGAGTGGATGAGCGGCGGGTGTTGGGTATCCCAGGCTCGGGGGACAGATCGAATCTGAAACCGTGGAGGGGGGCTTTGCAGACTTGAGAGCAGAGCGGATTGGTGGTGGATGAGCTCGCGGCTCATGCAATCTTGAAAAATACATGCTTATCGCAGAGCCCGGCACATAGTGAGGATGAGATAAATGCCATCTATTTATATTTGCGATAATACTAATCATAAACGCCAGAAACGCTCGATGAAAAAGCCGGGTGGGATTTAAGTTTTGGAGACGAAGATTGGGACTGTTTTCTGTCTTTCTGGGTAGGTTTCCGGCTATGATGCTGGCAATATAAAGTTCTGTTGCAGGACTCCTTTCTCAGCAGCGGCAGCCCATCACTTGTTGGTGCTGAAGTCTGAGGAAGGAAATCCGTCAGTAACACGAACCAAGACAGGTTTCTTTGGGGACACACCCAAGAAACATAGGTTTTCAAGAAATGTAAAGTCAGGAGATGCCATTTGTTAGCACTTTTATATTAGGAATTCTGCCTTACGTTGTTTTCTGTAGGTGAAGGCAGGCATTACATTGTGTGTATGAAAGTGTAGTTCCTAGAAACTACAGGGTCCAGAATGCATCTGCTTTGGTTCAAGCGGGGACACCTGTCAAAGACACCTACCTTTCTTCTCCAAGGGCTGAAGTGGTCTTCTTTTTACTTTCTGTGTTTTTTGTTATTTCTTTTTCGAACATCACAGTGCTCTTGCGAAGTTGTATGTTTATTTCTGTTTTATAGATGAGACTGAGGCCTAGAGAGATTAAATAACTTGCCTGATGATAAAAGTCCAATTCCATCTGATTCTTGCTCAATTTAGTTTTCTTTAATTTCTGAGACTATAAATATATAAGGCAATTTCTCTGGCCTCTCTACTACATTGATTGTATAGTCAAATAGGTTAGCAGTTTTAATTTCTGTATCTCTAGGAGCAGTTGTGAAGTACCTGCTTTGAAATTTGAACTATGAAAGAGACTATTGCTCGTTGGTAGTTTTTCTTCTTAAAGAAGTTTGTTTTCATAAAGGATAGGCTGTTAGTGAGTAAGGACATTTAAGAGTCCATAGGATTTATTGAGTTAATTGTGTGTCTTCCAGTTATATGCGGGTCATAATGAAAAGTATTTTCCCTAAATTTCTTTTTGGATCATCGAGTATATGCAGTCATATGTTTATTCAGCCAAATAATTTTAGAAGAATAGAAAAACACTACTGAACCAGTCATGGTGATGCAAACTTGGGACCTCAGTATTTAGGAAGTGCACTCGGGGTCAGGAATTCAAGGTTTTTCTTTGCTATGTGAGAAGCTGTTCAAAAAAACAAAACTTTAAAAAAAAGAATTGCTGAATAGGGCTTGGCAATTATGTTTTAGCCTTAGTGGGTATTCATTGAACTTATACACAGTATTTTTAAAATAAAACTTTAATGGGGGGGCAGCAAGATGCCAAGCCTGACTTGAATTCAATTCTAGGACTCACATAAGTGAAGGGAGAACTGACTTTGGACAGTTGTCCTCTGGCCTCCACATGTGTGTCATGGCGCATAGACACACCTCCCAAAATACATGAAATATAATAAACTCTGCGAGGGTGATGGGACAGGCCTGTAATCCCACTATTAAAGACAGAATCTTAAAAAGTTTAAGATCTTCCTTGACTACATGATAAGTTTCGGGCCAGCCTGGGCTGCATGGGACTCTGTCTCAACAAAACAAAACCCAAAACCCTTTTCACCATTCATGAGTTAGAGGCGAATAGAAAGCATTACTTGGTGATGCTGCTTTCTCCTCATTTCCTCTGTCTCCAGTGTTCTCTTTCCCCTTTTACAATTTATGCATCTCTATGAACTCCTTACCAAAATTACAATTTATAGTTTGCTATTTTTATACAAATGGTTGTGTGTAATGCACATTGTTCTGTATGTAGTGTGTGTGTTACATGGACAAACAGGACAGAGCAAGATGTCAGATACTTTCTTTTATGCCAGTGGCTCTCAGCCTTCGTAGTGTGACCCTCACCTTGTAGTGACACCCAACCATAAAATTATTTTCGTTCTGCTTCATAATTGTAATTTTGCTACTGTTGTGAACCATAATGTTAATATGTGTTTTCTGATGGGCTTTGGCAATCCCTGTGAAAGGGTTGTTCGACCCCCAAGGAGGTTGCGACCCATAGGTTGAGAATCACTGTTTTCTGCCTTTGGCTTTGAAGTGAGGACACCTTCCTCTATGCCTGATTGCTTTGAGATGAGGTCTCTGAGGGACCTAGAAGCTCTTCATTTTGCTAGGTTGACTGGCCAGCAAGATCTCAGACTCCTCCAGTCTGCCCCTCAGTGCTGAGATGACAGACACCTGTAGCTGCTCCTGGCCTTTAATATAGGGATTTGAACTTAGGTCCTCATTGCAGATCAAACACTTGTAGCCACAGAACCATCTCCCTAGCCCTGTAAGTTGTGGTTGCTTGTTTAATATGCATGCATGGTAGAACAGAAAATGTCTTTAATGCTCTTATACTTGAATGGGATTTTATTAAATGGGTGTAACATTTAGCCATCTATTGGTGCACGTTTAAGTGGAATCTTTTTCTATTATAAACTTTTTTTTTCCAAAGTTGTATTTGTATGTGTGCTTGGTGGCCCAAGGTGGCCAGAGGAGGGTGTCAGAGTCTCTGGATTTGGTGTCATAGATGGTTAGGAACTGACAGGTGGGTGCTGGGAACTGAACTTCAGTAGCTGGAGCTCTAAAGCATTAGCCATCTCTGCAGACCCATAAATAACTTATAAAAGTTGTCTCGTAAGTGTGTGCATTTTTATGGAGAGGTCACCTACAGCTTCAACAGATTTTCAAAGGGTTGCTAAAGAAAAGAGAAAGAATGAGGTTAAGACCTGTTTCATTCTGGGTCCTCATTGCTCAGAGAGAAGACTGGAGTGGAGGGGAGAAGAGAACTACCAGTTACAAGGTGCAGTGAGGTAGAAGATAAACAAAAGCTAAAAGAGAGACCATAAAAGCAAAACACAGCCTCAGTGACAGCGAAAGGTCCATGTTGACCTCATTTTGGTTTTGATAAGATCTCACGTTATAGGCCAGCCAGCCTGAATGGAGCTCTGTGTAGACCAGGGAGGCCTGGAATTAGTGACGATTCTGCTTCAGTCTCCTGAGTGCTGAGCTTGCCCGTGTGAGCTACTAGCCTGGCTCATGATGGCTTTTAATGGAGGAGGCTGAGATACTTGCATTGTGATTTCATGAGTAGTAACTAGAGCAGCAGGAGGTCATTTGTAGGAACCTTAGGAAGTGCATCTCTTGGTGGATTCTTAAGGCATACACAGTTAAGCCAGCTGATAAAGGAAGGGTTAGGCCTGCTTTGTGAGACTGGAGATGAAACTGCATTAGGTTTATTTGTTTATATATTTGAGGCCAGGGTGTGCTCTGTTGCATAGGCTGTTTTTGAGCTCCTGCTGTCAAGTGGTGTCCTCCCACTTCATTCTCCTGCACATGATACTGTAGCCGCTTATTAGAGTTTTGTATTTTGAGACAGGACCTTGCTATGTAGCCTGTCAGGCAGTGAACTTGAGACCTTCTAGCCTTAGTCTCCCAAGTGGTGGTTTCCAAGTACGTACCACTGTGCACAACTTGCTTTTCAGAAAAGATTTCAAGGAGTTGGGGATTTAGCTCAGTGGTAGAGCACTTGCCTAGCAAGCACAAGGCCCTGGATTCAGTCCTCAGCTCCCGGGGGAAGAAAGAAAAAATGATTTCAAAGTACAATGTCTCTTTTAGAATTGGATTGTCTATGACAAAAAGTATAGTCTGTGCTTGTTGAAAATTTTGGTTGTGTTTTTGATATTTTTGTGGCTTGGCATTTTATTTATTTAACTTAGACAGGGTCTCACTTTGTATCCTGGTCTGGTCTCAAACTTACCGCAACCGTTCTCCCTCAGTCTGGGAGAATCTCCCTGAGTGCTGGGACTATAGGTGTGCGCCGCTACACCTAGTTTACTAGTTGTTTTTGTTGATCTGTGGAACCCTGTGTGAAGGCTGCAGCAGTGATCAGATCAAGACTGACTCCAAGTGGAACTTCACAATCTTTGAGGCTGTGCAGGTCCTTGTCTGTGTGGACATACTAAGTATTTGCACTGTTTTAAGCAGCTTGCAAGAGTTTATAATGAATACCTACATTTTGCTAAGCATTGTTCACACCAATGAACAAAATATAAATCTCATTCTTATGGAACTTATATTTTAAATTTAAAGGCATTCTAATGTGTTGATTTAAAATCATTTACTACATAGGTGTGCATAGATTTAGAACTGCACATAGTAATTATATTTAAGCCTTATTGAAAATGATTAAAGAATTTTGAGAATTAAAGCCAAAGATGCTTTTAAATTATACTGTATTTGATCTTGAAACAGGAACTTTTTGGACTTTAGGACAATTCTTTTTTCTTCTACTATAGGTAATGATTGAAGTGATGATCTAGACAAAGGCTGATAACCATTTTAAGTTGACGAGTTTTTTTTTCTATTTTTGTCTTAAAGTTGAATTTCAAAAAATTAGTAGATAAAAAAGTGAATAGTACGTCATTTATCCTTTTTTTTTTATCCCACAGTCTCCCTGCATAAACATCCCTGTTCATACTCCCTGTTCATTTATGATTAACAAACATTTTAAACATTTGCTTTCCTTGAAAAGCAAATAGTTCTGGTCTGTTTGTCAGACAACATCTGCTTTCTGTGTTGCCTAAATTGCTTTGCAAACTAGTGAATAATGAAGCTGTGATTGTGTAAAGGACAGGCATTCTCTGATCTGTAA